GTTGTCATCAACTATGTTAATGAAACGGCAGGAGTGTGTTGGATATATTAGGATTTTCGAAGTACATATTTGGAGAAACGAGAAAAAGAGAATGCATGTGAACGATAGAGAAATGATGTCGACTGATACGACTAAAAATGAAGATTGATGTGACTAAAAACATCGAGCGTGGCGAGTCAGAAAAACGGATTATATTTCTATGGAAATCATCCTGTTGATGATGTAAGAAAGCAAGATTCAAGCAAGAGCCAAAGTTGGATACTAATCAAAGTACCGACTACAGTGGAAGGTGAACGGATAAACAGATTGAACTTGCAGCATATCAGGCTGACGTAGAGAGAATTCTGAGAATTTCCACTGAGGTGGAGAGGAAAGAGTCAAAGTCAAAAGTTGACAGACTATTCTCACTTTTTATAATATATTGCAAGCAACGAGTGAATTGGTTGATAAAGTAGGATCTTTGATTGATCTATATACTTCTATATACTGTAAATTCATATACTTAGAAGGCAACAATACCTGGACAGCTAAATCGCAGTCAATTGAAACAGGTAGATTGCAGGCGGCACTGGATCGCTTACTTCTAACAAATACAAACAAAGCGATGAGAATCTTCGTAATGAAAAGATTGATCAAGATGAAATTGATGCTTTACTTGAAGAAGCGGAAGAATTTATTGAAAACTATGATGATGAACACACCGAAAATGTTGAAGAACAGACAGAAGACAGGAGTGTTGCAAGTATTTATGAACGATTGAGACGGAGAAATGATGTCGACTGATACGACTAAAAATGAAGACTGATGCGACTAAAAACATCGAGCGTGGCGAGTCAGAAAACGGATTATATTTCTATGGAAATCATCCTGTTGATGATGTAAGAAAGCAAGATTCAAGCAAGAGCCAAAGTTGGATACTAATCAAAGTACCGACTACAGTGGAAGGTGAACGGATAAACAGATTGAACTTGCAGCATATCAGGCTGACGTAGAGAGAATTCTGAGAATTTCCACTGAGGTGGAGAGGAAAGAGTCAAAGTCAAAAGTTGACAGACTATTCTCACTTTTTATAATATATTGCAAGCAACGAGTGAATTGGTTGATAAAGTAGGATCTTTGATTGATCTATATACTTCTATATACTGTAAATTCATATACTTAGAAGGCAACAATACCTGGACAGCTAAATCGCAGTCAATTGAAACAGGTAGATTGCAGGCGGCACTGGATCGCTTACTTCTAACAAATACAAACAAAGCGATGAGAATCTTCGTAATGAAAAGATTGATCAAGATGAAATTGATGCTTTACTTGAAGAAGCGGAAGAATTTATTGAAAACTATGATGATGAACACACCGAAAATGTTGAAGAACAGACAGAAGACAGGAGTGTTGCAAGTATTTATGAACGATTGAGACGGAGAAATGATGTCGACTGATACGACTAAAAATGAAGACTGATGCGACTAAAAACATCGAGCGTGGCGAGTCAGAAAACGGATTATATTTCTATGGAAATCATCCTGTTGATGATGTAAGAAAGCAAGATTCAAGCAAGAGCCAAAGTTGGATACTAATCAAAGTACCGACTACAGTGGAAGGTGAACGGATAAACAGATTGAACTTGCAGCATATCAGGCTGACGTAGAGAGAATTCTGAGAATTTCCACTGAGGTGGAGAGGAAAGAGTCAAAGTCAAAAGTTGACAGACTATTCTCACTTTTTATAATATATTGCAAGCAACGAGTGAATTGGTTGATAAAGTAGGATCTTTGATTGATCTATATACTTCTATATACTGTAAATTCATATACTTAGAAGGCAACAATACCTGGACAGCTAAATCGCAGTCAATTGAAACAGGTAGATTGCAGGCGGCACTGGATCGCTTACTTCTAACAAATACAAACAAAGCGATGAGAATCTTCGTAATGAAAAGATTGATCAAGATGAAATTGATGCTTTACTTGAAGAAGCGGAAGAATTTATTGAAAACTATGATGATGAACACACCGAAAATGTTGAAGAACAGACAGAAGACAGGAGTGTTGCAAGTATTTATGAACGATTGAGACGGAGAAATGATGTCGACTGATACGACTAAAAATGAAGACTGATGCGACTAAAAACATCGAGCGTGGCGAGTCAGAAAACGGATTATATTTCTATGGAAATCATCCTGTTGATGATGTAAGAAAGCAAGATTCAAGCAAGAGCCAAAGTTGGATACTAATCAAAGTACCGACTACAGTGGAAGGTGAACGGATAAACAGATTGAACTTGCAGCATATCAGGCTGACGTAGAGAGAATTCTGAGAATTTCCACTGAGGTGGAGAGGAAAGAGTCAAAGTCAAAAGTTGACAGACTATTCTCACTTTTTATAATATATTGCAAGCAACGAGTGAATTGGTTGATAAAGTAGGATCTTTGATTGATCTATATACTTCTATATACTGTAAATTCATATACTTAGAAGGCAACAATACCTGGACAGCTAAATCGCAGTCAATTGAAACAGGTAGATTGCAGGCGGCACTGGATCGCTTACTTCTAACAAATACAAACAAAGCGATGAGAATCTTCGTAATGAAAAGATTGATCAAGATGAAATTGATGCTTTACTTGAAGAAGCGGAAGAATTTATTGAAAACTATGATGATGAACACACCGAAAATGTTGAAGAACAGACAGAAGACAGGAGTGTTGCAAGTATTTATGAACGATTGAGACGGAGAAATGATGTCGACTGATACGACTAAAAATGAAGACTGATGCGACTAAAAACATCGAGCGTGGCGAGTCAGAAAACGGATTATATTTCTATGGAAATCATCCTGTTGATGATGTAAGAAAGCAAGATTCAAGCAAGAGCCAAAGTTGGATACTAATCAAAGTACCGACTACAGTGGAAGGTGAACGGATAAACAGATTGAACTTGCAGCATATCAGGCTGACGTAGAGAGAATTCTGAGAATTTCCACTGAGGTGGAGAGGAAAGAGTCAAAGTCAAAAGTTGACAGACTATTCTCACTTTTTATAATATATTGCAAGCAACGAGTGAATTGGTTGATAAAGTAGGATCTTTGATTGATCTATATACTTCTATATACTGTAAATTCATATACTTAGAAGGCAACAATACCTGGACAGCTAAATCGCAGTCAATT